GCCAGAGCAGCAGGTGGCCACGTGCAGGGCATCAGGCTCCGATGGGCTCAGGTCTCCCGGCCTGGAAGAATCTGACGTCGCTGCTACCCACGTGGCCAGCAGAGAGGCGGCGGGGAAGAGGAGATTCCCCGAAGCCTGCTCCTCTGGGGTCAGAACGAGACAAAGGCAGATCCTACACACACACAGGCAGACCAGGACCTCGTACCTTCACGTGGGAGCCTCTGGATTCATCATTTAACAGTGGATGGACCTCCCGTGACTTGGGGGAGCGGAAGCCCCCTCCTGCGTTCAGGCAAGTCGCCACAAGCGAAGGGGTGGTGAGGGGCTGCCCCTGTCTCCCACCGTCTATGCTGACAGGTCCAGATGCCGCCTCTCACCCCCGCTGCACGGGACCCAGCTCTGGCCACCCAGACACTCCTATGCCCGGCTTGGACGCAGAGCAGAAGTTGTGCTCATAGCCGCCGTGGGCAGGAAAGGGTTAACTCAGAAGGTCCCGCTTGTCCACACTCTGCAAGCTCCCAAGGTCCTTAGGACTGGCCCTCGCCAGCTTCAGGGAGGTGACCTCTGAGCCCTGGGGAGGTCCTGCCTGATAAGAGTGTCTGTTTACCTGGGGCCTTGAGCCACACCAGACTGTCTCTGCTGCCATGTGATTTACGGTCAGGCCTTTGTCCACACAGCGTCAGCTCGACTTCCAGAGGGGTGGGAGGCTAAGAGCAACCACACGGGCAGGCAGCCATGTCTATGTGACCAAACCCAGTGAGAACCCTGGACCCCAAGTCCCAGTGACCCTCCCTGGTCGGCGGCACTGCGTGTGTTGTCACTCATCACAGCTGGGAGACTCCAGCGTTGCCCACGCGACTCCCCGGAGAGGGCAGGACCGGGACCCCACGCCTGGTTTCTCTGGGACTTGGGCCTGTGTGTTCCTTCCCTTTGCACATTCTAACCTGTACCATTTGCTGTAATAAACTGTAGCCCTGAGCACTGCAGCTTTTCTGAGCCCTGTGAGACTTAGCAAATCATTGAAACTGAGGGTGGTCTTAGGGACCACCAGACTTGCAGTGGGTGTCAGAAGTGAGGTTGTCTTGAGGACCCCACACAAGCAGGAAATGTGCAGGTGTTTCCAGCCGTGCAGAGCGCCCAGAGCCAGCAGGGGAACAGCCGAGGGCTCTGCCTTCAAAGGCAGCCTCAGTCACCCCTCACCAGCCTGAGCCCCGGCACAGGGAGCCTGTCATGCTCTGGCCTCTGACCTCCCTGTGTGTCTTCTGCACCTGTGTTAAACTCGCTTCCTGCGTGGATCACCGAGTCGATTTCTCCAGATCCAGAATGCTGACTCATCCAAAGGATGCGGTCTCGCCGGGACCTGAGACGGGACCACTGAGAAAGGTTGTCATGCCAACAGCCATTCCACCTGGAGACCAGGAAGGAGCAGGTGTGCAGCCCTGAGTGGGAACAGGTGCGCCACGTCAGCAATCAGCCGCAGGTGAGACGGCTGGGCATGCTCCTTGAGGCAGAAGGAGGGACAGACATGAAATCCAGAATGGGGTTTCTCACTGAGACACCGGGAGCCTTCCAGGCCCACGACGGAGTCAGGGACATGCTGGGATGAGGGACACGCTGGGGTGAGGGACACGCTGGGGTGAGGGACGTGCTGGGGTGAGGGAC